AACGTCACTATGAGAGTTGTAGGGCTTCAAGCGCGCGACATGTACAATATCGGTAGCGTGTTGGGCGAATGAAGAAGACGAGGTGGCAGGAGTAACCACACGAATTCAAATGTTACAGGAGTAACCACACGAAGGACTCGGTATGGGCCTGTGTAGCGAGTAAGTAGTTTTTCTGTCAAGCTAACTTTACGGGTCGGAGACCAGAGCAGTACCAAAGAACCGGGCGGAAAGTGTACGTCGCAGTGTCGTTGGTCATACAAGCGCCGTTGCTTCTCTTGAGAGATCAGAAGGAAAGTATACGGGTGATTTCGCGTACGTGAGCGGCCCTACAGTGATAGCTTTCATGACATATTAACTGGTCAGTACTCCAGGGGACGGTATGACGGTGTCTAGAGGCAATCTTGATTCTCGGCCAAACAGCAGAAAAAATGGAGAGTAACCGGCAGTGTCATGGCGCGAAGAAATATAGGCAAATGTGACGTACGGCAACGCGAGATCCCAGTCGGTGTGGTTGGTAGAAACATACTTAGCGATCATGTCTGTAAGAGTTCGATTTAGACGCTCCGTGAGTACATTGGTTTGCGGGTGGTATGACGTAGTCAGCTTGCGTCTCGTTTTACAGGATTGCAAGATGTCGGCTATGACCTTCGACAAAAAGGTGCGGCCACGGTCTGTAAGCAGCTGCCGTGGGGCTTCGTGTTACAAAATCACGTCCTTGAGGAGGAAGTCAGCGACATTTGTGGCGCAGCTTGTTCGAAGAGCTCGTGTGAAGGCATAACGCGTGATGTAGTCGATGGCCACGGCTATCCACTTGTTACCCTAGGAAGACAAGGGAAAAAAGCCAAGTAGGTCCAAGCCAACGCGGAAGAACGGTTCTGACGAAATATCAAGTGATTGAAGGCGTCTGGCGGGAAGTGTCGATGGTGCTTTGCGGCGCTGACATTTCTCACAAGCCGCAGCGTATCTTCTGACTGAGCGTGCAAGCCCTGGCCAAGAGAAGCGTCGGCGTATTCGGTCATAAGTGCGTGACACACCAAGGTGACCAGAAGTCGGAAGGTCATGAAGTTCACGTAGAACTTCCGAGCTAAGGTGTTTCGGAATGACAAGCAGCAGAGCCAGTCCATCTGGCTCAAAACTTTGGCGATATAGTGCACCATTGTGGAGCACGAATGAGCGATGGGACTGATTGGAAGATGGTGATTCGAGGCGCTCAATAATAGCACGCAAGGACGCATCATGGTGCAGCTCGTCACCGATGCATGTCATTTGCGAAAGGGAAAAGACGCAAGGCTCGGTGTCGGTGTCAGGCATAGTGCTTGACTCAGCAACCGGGTAGCGGGACAGGCAGTCTGCGTCCTGATGTAGGCGTCCGGACTTATACGTCACCGTGTAGGTATAGTCTTGGAGTCGCAGAGCCCAGCGCCCGAGCCGGCCAGTAGGATCCTTCAGTGACGTAAGCCAACATAGCGCATGATGGTCCGTTACTACAGAGAAATTGGTGCCATATAAATATGGGCGGAACTTTGAGACTGTCCAAACAGGAGCAAGGCATTCACGCTCTGTAATGAAATAGTTGCGCTCAGCAGCTGTGAGGAGGCGGCTAGCGTAGGCGACAACTCGGTAGTGTTTCCGTTGGCGTTGGGCTAAGACAGCTTCGATTCCGTGACCACTAGAATCGGTTCGAACTTCCGTCGGAGCGAATGGGCCAAAGTTAGCCAATATAGATGGAGTTGTCAGTAGCGTGATTAGGTAAGAAAAAGCAGCAGCTTGGTCGGTACCCCACGTAAATGTGACGTCTTTCTTCAGAAGCTCTGAGGGGCCGAGCGATGGTTGCGAAATCTTTCGCAAACCTTCTAAAATAGGAGCAAAGTCCTGCAAAACGCCGGACGTCTTTAGCTGACTGGGGTACAGGTAAACTGGTGACTGCACGAATTTTCTCGGGGTCCGGCTGTGCACACCAGAGGCATTGACAAGGTGGCCCAACACTGTAATTTGCGGGCGTTCGAAGTGGCCCTTCGACGAGTTTATTTGAAGGCCTGCAGCGCGGATTACGTCGAGAATAGCTGACAAACGGTGAAGGTGGGTCTCAAATGTTGGGGAATAAACAACGACATCGTCAAGATAACAAAGACATGTTGACCATTTGAACCCTTGTAGCAGAGAGTCCATCATGTGCTCGAACGTGGCTGGGGCATTGCATAGCCCAAACGGCATAACCTTCAACTGATATAGGCCGTCTGGAGTTACAATTGCAGTCTTCTCTTGGTCTTTTACGTCGACAGCAATCTGCCAGTAGCCTGAGCGTAGGTTTATTGTAGAAAAGTATCGGGCGCCGTGGAGACAATCGAGAGCGTCATCGATACGGGGTAAAGGGTAAACGTCCTTTTTCGTGATTCTATTCAGATGGCGGTAATCCACGCCGAAGCGCCACGTGCCATCTTTCTTTTTAACGAGCACAACGGGGGACGCCCAAGGGCTCAAAGAGGGTTCAATCATTCTTTTGGCTAACATGTTTGTGACTTCTTGTTGAATTACTTTACGCTCGGCGGCAGACACCCGGTATGGTCGCCGATGAATGGGGTGAGAATCACCTGTGTTAATGCGGTGCTTGACGAGTGAAGTCTGGCCGAGTGGATGGCTGTCGATGTCGAATATGTCGCGGTATGAAGCCAGAAGGCGGCATAGCGCGGCTGACTTCTCAGGTTTGAGGTCCGAGGCGATCATGGAGCGTAAGGTCGCATCGAGGCACGTGGCAACCTGCGAGTGATGTGCGTGCTCGGGACATACGTCTGCCGTAAAACAGGTGACGCGGTCATCAATTAGAGGCTTAGCGTGGCGACCAAAATTCCTTGGGGTAGCACTTGTTCTATGAAACCAAAATTGATAACAGGTAAATATGTTCGGTACGAGGCCATGGTTACGATGGAGTGTGGGACAGTAATGTCCCGCGCCAGGAGAACATCAGCGATCGGCGTCACGATATAATCACCGTCGAGCACGGGAGAGGGGGTTGCCAATTCGACGAATGTGAGAGCTTTAGGTGGTATCCGGAAAAAGTCAGTGGTTCACAGGCTGTTCGGGAGTTCAGGGTGAGAATCCAGGGGAAGAGGAAGTTCTAGGCAGAGAGTACTGGCGGCACAATATATCAGGGCAGAATGCGTCGATAGGAAGTCCATGCCGAAGATTAGATCGTGCGGGCAATTTTCAAGCACCGTAAACAAAACGGGGACATGGCGGCCGGCAATACTAACGCGAGCGGTACACATTCCAGTGATGGCCACAGTTCCACCATCAGCGACACGGAGGGCTTTATTTGCTGCAGGCGTGAGGACTTTTTTGAGCAGGCGACACAGATGAGCACTCATTATGGACACTTCAGTTCTGGTATCAATTAACGCCGTCAAAGAAATACCGTCCATATACACCTCAATCAAGTTCGCATTAGTTGCGAGCGTCAACGAAGGAATTGGACCAGCCGCAAGTGATGCACCACTACCTCCTGGAGCTGCATGATCTAGTTTTCTGTCCTAGAGGATCCATAGTTGACCGGCGACGGATAGCGGCGTGGTTGGGGCGATGGGGAACGGCGGCGTTGAGGTGACGGTGAACGAGCGGTGGAGCAGCTGTTAGGGACGTCGGAAGAAGGGTACACACGACTGGGCGAATACCGACGGGAGTCCTTGTATGCGCGAGAAGAGATAAAATGGCTCCAGTTCGAGGGCGTCGAAATGCTGTGGCAGTAGCGGGAGATATGGCCAACTTGGTGGCAGCGGAAGCAGATTGGCTTGTCATCTGCAGTTCTCCATTCCGCCGGATTGCGGGATGGCGGAAGAAAGCGTGAGTCATGGCATGGTGCATTTGTTGTCATTGGTCTGGAGACGGGTCGGGAGACAGAGCAGGCCACAGGAAAACCGAGCTTTGCAATTTCCTGTCTCACGACGGCTTGAATAACGGAGACTGCCGGAGGCATTTGTGCGGCGCCATGGTCGAGCGTATGTGGAGGAAATGGTGCCGGACGACGCCTCAAGCTCCCGTCGAACTATTCGTGTCACGCTGTCCTGCATGGATAGTGCGGTCTCGAGATCGGTGCAGGTGGATGTAACAGCCGTGTTTGGTAGCCACGTAAATTGAGGCACAGCTTGGCGGCTTTTGGCCATTTCGAAGCGGCGGCATTCCTTGATAGTCATGTCTACAGTCGTGACGTTAGTGTAGACGAGCAAGTTGAAGGCGTCGTCCGCAATGCCTTTCAGTATGTGGCCCACCTTCTCACTCTCTGTCATTTGCTCGTCGACCTTTCGGCACAACGCGAGCACGTCCTGTAAGTACGTGACATACGACTCTTTTGAGGACTGCACACGAGTGGCGAGTTCTTTTCGCGCTTCCATTTGGCGACCGGACGGGTCCCCAAAGATGTCGCGTAGTCTCTCCTCGAAGGTATCCCAGCTGGCGAGCTCGGTCTCATGGGAGTCAAACCAGACCTCTGGGGTGCCGTCCAAGTAAAATATCACGTTGTCGAGCATCACGGTAGGGTCTCATCGGTGTGTCTGGCTAACACGCTCGTACATGCGGAGCCAGTAGTCAACGTCAAGCCCAGGTTGTGCGGAGAATGTACTGAGATCACGGGGGGTGGGCATCGTCAGGTATGCAGTGGCTGGAGCTACAGATGGAGACACTGACGGGCTGTTGTCATTGGTAGCCATGACCGGAGACTGAACGGTGTGGCCACTGCGAAGCTTCATGGTGAAGACGGGGAACGTTCCACCTCCACCAAAGATGTCACGGAAAAGAAGAGATGCCGTATGGTCAAGGCTGGGGATTGGATATATTCAAAACCAGCGCTAATGGCGTGACCTGTTCACCAGCGATCGAGCGGAGACAGCCCTTCGCCTTCCTCGTCAGGCACACACGCGCGTCGCCCCTAGAACATCAATATACATGCATGTAGCAATATGCTCCTAGCATCTGGTATCGGCTTCTCATTCACCCACCTCTACGATTGAATGCCAGTGACTTGGAAGCTGCCGGGTTTAGTCTATGCTGCCGACCTGGTCCTGCTAGCCGAAAGCCCAACGGACCTGCGACAACTGGTCACCCTCGCTGCGACCCACCTGTGGCCCATGGACCTGGCATTCAATGCAAAGTCTGCTGCATTGCAGTTCTCAGGCTCCCACTCTAATGCCGACATATACCTGCCAGGAGGAGATCAGATACAGTGGGCCTCTGACTATCGGTACCTCTGGGTAATATTGAGCACCTGCGGTGACTTCTTGGGGGTGCATGAAATAAATCTGCGCAAGACTTCACAGAGAGCAGCAAACGTACTGCGCCGAAAAAGCCCATGGGGACGAAACCGTTTCCTTCTCATCCGAGACTTGTGGAAGGCTGTTCATGCCCCTGGCCTCACATTCGCCAATGCAACTGTGCCTCACTGTGACAACCAGGCAATGGATGGAGCGTGGCCAGCGGGAGGTGGGCTGTATGGCCCTTGGATGTCACGGGCGTGTCGCAATAGAGGTAATTCAGGGTGACCTGGGATGGTCCTCATTTGAGGCGCGCGAGGCGAAAAGTAAGGCTACTTAAGAAGGACGCCTGTGACTAATGGACGACCAACGGTGGCCCAGGTGACTGTTCAGATATGCGAGTCTAACCGGCACACAAACGCAGTGGTGCAGGTGCCTGGGCAGCCTGAAAAGAAAAATTGTCTTCTCAGCAAACCCTGTGATTGAGGACAAGATGTACAAGTGGGCCCATGCAGTAAAGACGCAGGTGTGTGTGAGGAGGAGACAGAGAAGTGGCTGCGTGCCATGGAGCATAAATCCACACTGCTCACATGTCGCAGTCACAAGGCTGACATTGGCATGGAGCCCCTTTATGAAAACAGCGGTGGCAGCGCACTCCTTTTTGAGGCACGTATAGGAGCGCTGCGTACGTTGGCATACCGTCGCAGGTTGGACACATCTGCGGACGTGGCCCGGACCATATGTTGAATATGCGACACTGAAGAGGAGACTACAGAACACAACGTCATCCGCTGCGCTGACTTGTGCCCGGGTCACCTAGAGGGCACCACCTTCCCGCTGGCACTGGGATTCCGAGAAAATACGGAGAAGAGCACAGCGGTGGCCAGAGCGGTCCACGTCACAAAACAAAGATTGGTGCAGTGGTGGCGCAGAACGCGCAGACAGTGCTGACACGCAGACAATGTAGACGTTTAGACAATCTAGCCGGTGTGTGTGCGTGTGCGTGTGCGTGTGCGTGTGCGTGCGTGTGCGTGTGCGTGTGCGTGTGCGTGTGCGTGCGTGTGCGTGTGCGTGCGTGTGTGCGTGTGTGCGTGTGTGCGTGTGTGCGTGTGCGTGTGTGCGTGTGTGCGTGTGCGTGTGCGTGTGTGCGTGTGCGTGTGCGTGTGCGTGCGTGTGCGTGTGCGTGTGCGTGCGTGTGCGTGTGCGTGTGTGCGTGTGCGTGTGCGTGTGCGTGTGCGTGCGTGTGCGTGTGCGTGTGCGTGCGCGTGCGTGTGCGTGCGTGTGCGTGCGCGTGCGTGTGCGTGTGCGTGCGTGTGCGTGCGCGTGCGTGTGCGTGTGCGTGTGCGTGTGAAAATTAAGAAGTGACGCTCACGCCAAGGTTTTGCAAACGTCTTCCGGTCCTTAAACACTGCAACCTCTGGACCATGAAGCTGGGGAGCTTGTCATTTTCTTGTCTTTCCTATCTGTGCTTGTTCTGTGCTACTTTATACTTTTTATACTGGTTTTACACGATTAGGAACGTGTGACTCTTGAGTCAAATGTCACTTAGACTTCTTGTTACGGCTATGTGTGCATGACTTCTCTAGTAGTGTTACGAAAAATCCGTAAACAGGTGCTAACAAACGCTAGAACAGTTCTGTTCTAGCCTTGAGGAAGAAAAGTTCACTTGTCAAAATGTCGGCTCGAAGCAACTTCTGCTTAAGAATTTTTTTCATCGCAAGCTTTCATCTTTCGCCGCTTCCCACCGTTTTTTGCATCACTATAGTATTGTTAGAATCACATCTAGTGAAGCTGAGACCTGTGGGGAAGACATCAAGGACGCTGAGGCCATACCACTGGAACTGAACAAAACAAGAACATACAACTACCAAGCTGTATTTACGCCGTGTTAAACTGTCTTTGCAAGCAAGAAAGGAATTTGAATTTAATCGAACTGAATTGAATCGTTATTTTCATGTTTCAGACTACATAATGGATAGCGGGAGTAAAAGCTGTAATAAAACAGCTTGACTAGCTACCGCTTCCTAAAATGAATGGGTCGGAAGCATTGGCATACAAACAAAAAAACATACTATACAGAAATATACTAATGTCAATCCATATAATTACATAATCTATACTAAAACAGACACAGCAGTTTCCATGAAAAGGCTATGTATACACGTGTGATAGAATGTATAAAAGGTCAAACTGGTACGAAAGGGTAAACGACATCAGAATATTTTTAAGAGCAATGATGCAACATTTTTGTGGTCATATTTTCTATATTTGCATCAATGCAAATAAGCGTAATAGTACGAATAACATAGAATAATGTTATTTATGCACGCAAATGTTCACTAGTGGAGCAGAATCGTCAGTTCTTTTTACTTATGAAAGTTTTTTTTCTTTTTTACTGGGGTGTCTACAGCAATTGTTCTGTTATCTTTGTATTGTTTGATGCTACACAGCGCACCCAGTTCGAAGCAGTCCACAAGGGCTGGGTCCTCGACTTCTGGAACCCCTGTTATCAGAGCTGCGGTTCTCCAACACAACGGGAGCATCGCTCAACTGCGCGGTCGCTGGTCAGCCTCCACCGAGGGTCACGTGGTTGCGCGAGGGTGTCGAAGTGGAGTCGCTTCAGGGACTCTTGTTCCTCCTCCCCAACGGCACGCTGCGGTTCCCGCCCTTCACAGCTTCCCAGTTTCGTCAAGAAGTGCACGGCTCCACATACCGGTGCAGAGCAGAAAACATGTTCGGGGCCATCCTGAGCACGGAAGTGCGCGTCCGAGCAGGTTTGTGCAAAGTTTCGTTTCACTGTTATGTCACTCATTATGTGCTTGTAATGTCCCAGATTAGAGGCTTATACCTGCACTGAAGCCGACGCTGGTACACTGAACGATCGAACGGGCTCAGGTATTTAGCTTTGCGTGCTGAATGACAACCTTGCATCAAGGCGAGAGATTAGAGGTACATTAAAGGAAAACACAACGTTGTGAAGATTGGCAATTTTTACTCTCAATGTCTTATTCACGCTGTTTTCACCATCATAGGTTTGATAGAAAGGACAAAATTAAGGTCAATATTTTACACTTGAACTTTCCACCGAATATTCCGTGCTTGAGGGGGAATTCGGCGGGAACACATGAAGGGGGCTACACGAACGCGCCTTTTGGGCCTAACTCTTTCGTCTCACAAAAATCTTGACTCGCTTTAACATATATATGACAAGAAGAAACACGACACTCGCTACTTTCTTTTCTTCTTCTTGTACTATGTGTCGCGTCAAATTTGAGTTACTACACTATATGTTAAAGTGATAAGTTGATATCTCACCTATTAGCCCAAGCTCTCAACCCTACTGATCTTGACTCGCCGTGGCAAAACAAAAACGCGTCATCAAGCCCCACGTTCTCTCCATTCTCCGTTTTAATTTTTTTTTCTGTTTCATTCGCAGTTGTGGAGCAATACTACGAAGTGCAAGTGTACGACGAATTCACCATCGCCGGAAACACAGCGGTTCTTCGATGCCACGTGCCATCATTCGTGCGTGACGACGTAATTGTCGTCTCGTGGGAGCAGAAGATTGACAACAAGGTTGACGTCGTGGTCAATGGTATGCAAAGTTCACTTCCTTTCTATTTTGTTCATTTATGCAAGCTTCGTTATAGAAACTAGTTGTTCGTAGATGTTTTTCCTCTTTTTTTTTGCTTGTGTATGGGTACTTTCGTAAGCAATTGAAATGCGAACAGCCACATGGCTATTAAGGCGTTTTTTTTTCCTTGGCTGAACACGTGGTGCAGGCATCACTTCAAAAATCACGGTTATTCTAAGGGATAATAAATATTTGGTGGCTGCGTGATAAGCTGTGCACGAAAACGAGCTCTCAAGTCATCGCGGGTGAAAGCGGTGCCACTTTGACATATCCTGTTGGCGTGTGATCGAACCATCTTAGCACGATGAGCACATGCGTATGTGGACGCGTGAGAAGTGTTGGATGCTGCCTACTAAGCGTCATGTTCGGTACTATTCGGTGAAACACTGAAAAAATGAACGCGCCCAGCTGACACTAACACACAGCGATGATCTTCAACGCTAAAATGAACTCGACGAGAGGTGTGTTCATTCGAATCTCTTATATATTTTATGTATATGAATAAAAGGCTCACGACGTTCCTTATGCATTAACCTAAAACGACTGAAAGGTGCAAGCCATCTTCATGTTTGCTTCTCAGTCAATGTACTGATCCTGCGCAGCCACTCTACTAGAGCTCTCTGCACCTCACGTGACTGCACCCTGCCTCAAAGGTCAGAGGCACCTCACCCTGTTTGGCTTTGCCTCCGTGATCGGCCTACCATTGACCACGCTACAATGTCGTGTAATGGAGTCATCGCGTGGCGTCACAATGACGTCACAAAATCGGGCGATAGGTGACATCATGATCACGTGATACGGGGACACCTTCACGGGAAGGTGACCTTTCGCATCACTCGTGTTGACGCAGCCGAAGCGGCGCACCAGTGACTTTTTTTTGCATTTGATAAGGCATCTAATGCGGCCACCTTAACAATTGTTCACAATGTCGACTACAATATGCGACGAAAGTTGGCTCACAGACCTCCCCTAGACACATAGACTACAACCAAGAGTGAAAGAAGTTACGGGCAGGCTGAAAGTTGAAACGCGAAGTTCAACATTTCATTTCATTTCATTTCATTTATTTACTCTCAAGGCCGAAGCATTACAGAGAGGAGCGGGTATACATCATACAAAAAAAATCAGGAAATACAGCAAATCAAAATTATATGTGCACAATGGCGATCTGAAAACCATAAAAGAAAAGAAAGACTGCGTGATGTGAAGAAGAGGCAGGGTGGTTGTAACAACAATGTTCAACATGGTTGCGTCTTTGAGTGACACGCGCACACAAAAAACTAACAAGAGAAAACACAGCGTGACTTATAAGTGGCGAATTTACGCGAAATGGTTAGAGAGGGCGTTTTTAAACAAAGTGAAGTCAGTGATAGCAGCGATAGGGGCGGGAAGGTGGTTCCACTCATTTGCAGTTTTCGGGATGAATGATTCAAAATATAAATTCGTGCGGGCGCTAGGAACGCCCACTTTAAACTGATGATCGTTGCGTGAGGAAACGTATGATGGGGGCTGGAAAAAAGTGTTGCTGAAAGACGGAATGCAATGAAAGATCTTATGGAACAGGCAAAGGCGAGATATTTTACGCCGCAGTGAGAGAGTGGGTAAGTGAAGATTGGCTTTCATCGAGGTAACACTGGACGTGCGATGGTAGTTAGACATGACAAAACGTGCCGAGCGATTTTGAACCGCCTCGATGCTGTCAGCGAGGTAATTCGTATGTGGATCCCAGACTGATGACGCGTACTCGAGTTTGGGTCGGACTAATGTTTGATAAAGCAGAAGTTTAAGGTTAGTCGGAGCCAAAGAAAAGTTTCTGCGCAGATAACCTAACGTGCGATTCGCATTGTTTGTAATATAATCGACATGCGTGTTCCAAGAGAGATTGTTAGAAATATATACTCCTAGGTACTTGTAGGAAGAAACCAGATCGAGATTGCTGTGGTTAAGTGTGTAGTCGCACGGTACATTATGAGAAATACAACGGGAAATTCGCATAGCCTTGCATTTGGTAACGTTTAGCTTCATTAACCATGCGTCGCACCATGATGAAATGTGATCCAGGTCTGTTTGAAGGGCAAGATTATCTGCGTTAGTCCGGATTTCACGGTAAATTACACAGTCATCGGCAAATAGTTTGATGGATGATGAGATGTCTTTAGGTAAGTCGTTGATGTAGATAAGAAATAGTAGGGGACCAAGAACTGAACCTTGCGGAAAGCCGGACGTTACAGGGCTAGTCGGGGAACAATGGTCGTTAGCGGTTACAAACTGGGTGCGGTTAGATAAGAAACATTCAATCCACTTTAAGACGTTAGCATCAATATTTAGCGCGTTTAGTTTCAGAAGAAGTAACTTGTGGCAGACGGTATCAAAGGTTTTTGAAAAATCTATGAAGACACAATCAACAGTAGATGAACGATCAGCAGCAGAGAATAAATCGTTAGTGAAGGCCAGAAGCTGTGTCTCACATGAATAATATTTCCTAAACCCGTGTTGGTGAATGCTAAAGAAGGCGTTACTTTCAAGATAACTCACGACGTGGGTGTAAATTACATGTTCGAGAAGTTTGCATGGTACACTGGTTAGTGAAATGGGGCGATAGTTCCCGGGACTATGAGCGTTTCCTGATTTAAACAAGGGAGCCACCTTCCCAACCTTCCAGTCCTCTGGGAGAACACCTTCTTCTAATGACTGATCAAAAAGTCTCGACAGAATAATTGAGGAATGAACGTCAGTGTTTTTCAAAAATTTAGAAGAAATGCCATCGACGCCTGGTGACGACGAAATTTTTAAATTTTGGATCAACTTGCGTATACCGGCCCGGTCAACGCGTACAGAATTCATCACAATGAAATCGCGAGCTTGAACACCTGGAAGTACGGCAGGAATAGTGTTCGTAAAGAATGAAGAAAATGCATGGTTAAGGGTGATACAAACGTTCTCACTGGAAATTACTTCGTCCGTGTCAGTGGTAAGTTCAATCTGTTTCCTATCGCCCCCATTAACGACCTGCCAAAATTTGTGGGGATTGTTTTGCAGAATTAACGGTAGCGTTTGCTGAAGAAAGGACTCCTTTGCCGCGGATAAAGCACGCCCGTATTCATCGGCTACCTTTTTGTAAACCTCCCATCTTTCAGATAAATTAGAACGCTTGGCTTGGCGGTAAACGCGCTTCTTTTTATTGGACAGGCGTTTCAATGTTGGCGTGAACCACGGTGATTGACTGTTACATGCGATTTCGCGTAGTGGTATGTACTTGTTAACGAGTTCGGCAACTTTATTTTTAAACAGCATCCAGTTATCGTTGACAGATCTTTGGTTGAAGTCTTCTAGAAAAACGGAGGTGAAATGTTCAAGTTCGGTATTAATGGTTCCATAATCAGCTCTACTGTAGTCCCTGAATCGCTTTTTACTTTTTTGTTTACGGGGCGATGCGCAGGGGAGGTTGAAAACGATTGCTTCGTGATCACTGAGGCCTGACAAAACAGAAAGCGATTGCACGAGATCGGGGTGAGAAGTCAGAACTAAGTCTAAAGTTGAAGCACTTGAATGTGTAATGCGAGTTGGGCACATAACCAGCTGCGTTAAATTGAATTGCGCGCATGTGTTAAGGAAGCAGGCGCTTTCAGAGGAGCCAGAGCCAGGCGATAAATGGGAGTTGTTCCACGAAATATCAGGAAAGTTAAAATCACCTAGGATTAAAATTGGTGTGGCAGGGAACCTCACGTGCAAGTCACTCAAGACGTCATGAAAATCATTGGAAAAACCAGATGGCGCATTCGGAGGGCGATAGCAGGTACAAACAATGACATCTTTGTGACTTATGCGGATTCGGACGCACACCAATTCAAGGGAACATACAATGGGAATTTTAAAAGACATGAATTCCTCTGAAACAGCGATCAAGACACCGCCACCAGAACGCGAGCCACGGTCACACCTAAAAAAGGAAAATTTTTTGTCGCACTGCAGGATCTCACGGTTTTCAACTTTTGACGACAGCCAGGTTTCGGTCAAAACTATCACATCGGAAAGGCACGTGTTTACTAACGAAGACAAGGCATCACGCTTGTTGATAACACTTCTGATATTACAAAGCAAAAAACAACAGTCAGGGTTAGAGGTATTACAACTTGTGTTAGCATCTAGCTACAGTGGAGAAGATGGGCCTCTGATGACAGGATCATCGCGATTAGGAGGATTTGAGGGGTCACGCGAGTCCGTTACTATTTCGCACACGCGATCTGAAGATGCGCAGTAGGTGTATATTTTATTGCCAATGACCACTTTATTGTATTTAAGAGAAAATTTGTGACCAGTTGACTTGGCGAAGTCGATTAGTTTTTTCCGGGTGGTGCGTGTAGCCTTGCAGAAATCCTCACAGATTGATATATTTGTGTCACGAAACTTAGACTTCTGAGACAAAACACTATCTTTAGTTTTGGAAGAAGTGAAACGTCCTATCACGGGCCTAGTTTTATGCCGCGAAAACGTTCCTAGCCTGTGAGCACGCACGATAGCATCGTCAGGTAGCTGCAAGTTTAACGTAGAGGTGAGAATCAATCGGACCTTTTCTTCAGAATCGGCCCAAGTTTCTGACGCTGAATCTTCAATTCCGTAGAAAATCAGGTTCTCACGACGAGACCTATCCTCGAACTTATCCAGACGCGCTCGGAGCGAAGCCTGTTCACTTCGAACGGCGGTGGCTATCATTTCCTGCACGTGAGAGCCGTCTAGAAATTCTTCAAACGAATCGACTCGTTTTTCTAGATCAGTTAACCGAGTGGTCAAATCTAACACTTTGGACTCAAGTAACTTTTGGTTTTCTTTCACTTCGTCTATGGATTTAATGAGGGTGTCATGCCGTTGGTCAAGGTGTTTTGTTAAATCTTGAATAGCCAGAAGAACGTCACTGCTCTGTTTGCTAGGGTCTTGTTTCGGGGGACCAGGGTTGAGCTCGACGTCTCCGCTGACCAACAACATTTTAGCAACAAAAACACACTCCACAACGGTACAGGCAAGAACACTTGGGCATGGGAACAGCAGCAGAAAGAGGTTGTTTGAGCGTTTAGAAAAAAGGGGTGGGGCGGGACCAACCTGAACAAAAAGACAAAGGGGGTTGTCAGCTGCCGGCATCACTGCTGCGATCCAATGCCCACTGAAGGGCGAAGGGTTCCGCCAGCCGGTTATATGGTCCGTCTGCCTTGATGACGATGTCACACTGGCTTCTTCTGCGTAGTGGGGTTTCAATGTTGCGTAAGGCGGCCAACCATGGTCGACGCAAGGTGACGAGTCAAACAAGGGACATGCGTCGATCTCGGGAGGCAGTCGCAGTCGAATCGCGCAGGCAGCAGGGCACGTTCCAAGGATTGCAGCCAGCTGAACAAAAAGACAAAGGGGGTTGTCAGCCGCCGGCATCACTGCTGCGATCCAATGCCCACTCAATATGACACCGAAGGTGAGCATAGGAGACCGGCAGCCGCTAAGCTGAATGTGAGTGGCTTGTAGGAAGTCAAGAGTGATGAAGATCAGTTTACTTACTCTTCAAGTGTCACCTGTTCGATTAAACAAAGGCAACTGGTTGCGGTCGCCACAGTAAACGTACCCCGCAAGAGTTCAACAAGAAAGCTGCACAGTAGTCGTCATGATGATCTAATGGTTACAGTGCTTGAATGCTGGCCCGAAAGTCACAGTATCGAGTATCAGCCACGCCTGCCGCATTTCGGATGTAGACATAAAAAAGTTCATGCATCGCAGACTCTTATATTTCAATCCACTTTAGATGCTTACCTGCACTGAAGCCGACGCGAGTACACATAACCGTAGGACGGGCTGAGGCATTTAGCTTCGCGTGCTGAATGACGACGTTGCATCAAGGCGAGGCATTATAGGGACACTAAAGGGAAACCCAGAAGAGGTTTAAATTGAAGATTTTTTCGCTTATCGTCGTTTTCACGCTAATTTGGCCTTCATAGGTTTAATAAAAAAGGACAAAATTGAGGTCAAAACCTTAAATAAGCTGAGGTGGTCGAAGTTTCTGAAGCGTTGCCTAACAGCATATACCTTATAATAATGCCGCTGTTTTAGGCTGGTGTGCAAATTATTCTTCCTTGCAGCGCGATGTGAACCGCAAGTCCTTGAGTTGATTGTGTAATGAACGATTGACGTTTAATTTGGGGCGTTTAACAAATATAGTTAAATCATAAGGTGACAGACTCCAATGTTTAGTGGACAGTGAGTGTGTAATTCAAGTAATGTTCGTAATCCTGTAATAAAAATTTTGTAAGGCCCAAAGTCGTGACATCACGGGCTTTGGTACATTCATTTTGTACACTATTTTACATGGTTTCTCCTTGTCTGTGTGAGTCATGGCTTATGTGAGTATGTGAGAAAAAGCACAAACAGGGTGCGTCTGGGCCAAATGAGCAAGTAATACCTATCAAGCTTACTTAGGACAACAACAAAAAAATTCTTTCGTACACTATTTGACATACGTTTTAATTCCTTATATTGGATTAGCCTCGGACACCAAAGCCAGTGATTATAGTAAGTCTCATTTTTTTTGCCCTTCCTATCATGGAGAAAGCGAACGGGCTTTTCGCTCCACGCACCTGTTCCGTACGTGTTCAAGCAACCCATCCGTACGCGGAGAGATCATTATTGTCTTCCAGACAATCCACATATACCTGTTTCAATGGGATGACATCCAATGGGTGCAGCTCATTTCGTTGGGTTAGCTGCAAATAAGAATAACTTGAGTGCCTCCCGATTCGCGAATACTGCAACCTCCATTGCTATGTACGCCGATGACACTAACGTTTTCTTTTCTGGTTCAGATCTAAATTTATTAGATCACCGTGCTAATATCTGGCTAAACAAACTTCATGCCTGGCTTAATGTGAACGAAATAAACTTAAACGTAAAGAAAACACAGTACGTATTATTTTGCCCAAAAAATAAACCACTTCTTCATAACGTAGAATTGAGTATCAATAACAATATAATAACGCCCGTCAACTCTTGCCGCTTCTTGTGAGTCGTTTTTAGGCTTGACCTCAGCTGGTCTGACCACATAAATTATGTTCGTGCTAAGCTATCTAGATCTCTTGCTATGTTATACAGGCTAAAATATTTATTGCCGCTGCGTGTTAGAAAACAATTGTACTTCATTTTTATTCATTCCCACTTAACATATTGTCACCTAGTCTGGGGTACATGCAACAAGACGGATGCTGAAAGTGTTTCCTGTATACAAAAAAGGAGCCTAAAAATTATTTCTTCCCATCCTCCCCCATCAACTGACTCTCTGTATAAAAGTCTGAAGGCACCACCATTCTCAGAGTTATATCAGCTTCCTTTAGCAGCAATGATTTTCCGCGAATTCAAACGTGTTCGCACCATGTTCTCAAGCAAATATCTGAATAGACAAGTGGCATATGACCTTCGCGCTATTTCATTGACGGGATCAAGACGAAGAACTAATTATGGTACTAAAACTATAGATTATCAGATTATTTCATTGCTGAATGCATACCCATCCCTAATCTAATTGGCTAATCAGAACTCAAGTATGTCTCGTTTTAAAAAACAAGTAAAGCTACTTTTCCTGCCTCCTTGAAATTACAATTATTTTACTTTGAACACGAAAATATGTAATTTTGTATGTTTATGTAACTTCATAAAACTGTTAAACCTGAACAATGTAAACTTTGTATAACTTTTGTCCTAATGTGTTTTTTACTGTTCATTTTTTGTTTATATAAGTTGTGCAATGAGCATTGTACTTATTTTCTCTGATTTTGCTCCTGGCTGTCCGACGTGTAAGTCCGGGGTGAAGGCCTCGTCAGGAGACATACGAGTCTCCTTTTGCCTTGCCTCGTGGACATATTTCATGTCATGTACCTATGTCCTAAATAAACTGAAACTAAAACTGAATGTTCATCTTGTTTTTTCGCAAGGTGCGCCTGGCCGTGCTTATGACACTTTTATTCAGTTGCCCTGGTGCACTTACATACTACGGCATTCACTCATACACCAAATGTTTGAGGCAGCCAACTAAAAAAAATATTGCGTATTTGTGAGTATTTTTCTACCACGCAACTATAATCGTCGTCTAGATTACTTACTTCTTTTGTGTTATTGCTATGGTCCCTGCGCCTCCCGAACGTAAATGACGTGCGTGCAATCAGCGTGCATGGCGGGTGAAACTGGTGTAATCCTGATTTTCGAGTAAGCAAATACGAACAAGCTAGGTGACGATGAACAATATGTGGCAGAAGTATTCTTAAATTAGTATATTTTTACTTGAAATGTTGCTCAATTCAACCCACCTTTTACGGGTCTTACAGCAACACATAATGTCCACTGTAGGTCACAATCAACGTACTAAGAGATACGAACAAGAGCGAATGCATTACGAACTAACAGAAGGACTCGATATTCAAGAACACTTTGAGATGTATTACAACAAATCTTTGTTAGTAGGTAGAAACTGTCGGAGGCTGTCTTACGTTCTGTCGTAAAGACCGTAACACCCTCGTCGTTTTCTATCAGACTAAAAAGTATGAGGACAGGTTGTGATCTCCAGATGAACGTAGCTTTGCTAAAGCTGCAGCGAAATCTTCCGCCTAAGCACGAATTATATTTGGCGTAAAGTCAAAGGCCAGTCAGAAGACAGAGATATGCAATGCTGAATGGCATGCAGGTTAACTGGAAGATAAATATTCGATTTGATACCCAGCACATGCGAGAATATTATGGCAGATATAAAGAAATGAAGATAAGTAAGAAAGAAGGAAGAAAGTGGACTTGAGTAGAAACACACACACGCTCACAAACGCACATACACACGTACACATACGGAAGTGTCATAACCATTTAAGAATGTGGTTCGCTCGCAGAAAGTTAAGCAACGTCTTCGTCAGTTTCTGGTTTGAAGTTAGCGCTTTCCGGCACCACCAGATAGATTGCCGAAAAACCAGCTGGCCATCAAGCGTGGAAGAATTGCTGAGAAGACTGTTTCTGGGCAGTGTATGAAGGCCAGGACTAAAGACATTTGTGATGATTTTATCACTGCCGCAATTGTCACAGACAGCACTGTCATACAAATGTGACATACAAAGACGTTTTTAAAGGTCTTTACAAGCCACACGCGGAAGAGAATGGTCCTTTCTGGTCGGGTAGTCTAGATTATATATTTATTCAGTCATAGGCAAAGGTGCAAGCATTAAAAAGCTGAAACACACACACACACACACACACACGCACACACACACACACACGCACGCACACACACGCACACACACACACACACACACACACACACACACACACACACACACACACACACACACACTGGAAAGTCACAATCGTTCGACGAGGTCTGTCGCTCGCAGAAACTTCAAGAGATACTTTGTCGCCTAGGGATTGCAGATCCAGGGTGGCTGATGCTTGTGTCTGACAAGGTAACTCGGACATAACTGAGGTTACTCCAAGGTAACTCACAAATTATATCTGGTGATAACTGAGACAAGCAACATCTACGACGCTTTCACGTATGCCGCAAGAAACTTGTCGGCAGCATGATATTGAGTCACTGTGAAACAATCTCTACTCATACGTCGACTGATTGCATTCTTCTGGTTAATAGCCTGAAGCACAAAGACAACAAAATGATAGTGATTGGTGTCATAGCCTGATTGCTATACTAACCTGTGTAAGATGTACACGTAAACATTATGGATTTCGCAACGGTTTCGTTCTACATTGCGTTGCGAAGCCTTTATACTTTCATTCAAATGCTGAACCATGAGCAGAGACTAGCAAACTGAAAGGCAATGATTCCAAGTGCAAATACCTCTTTTCTTTTTTTTTCCAGGAGGTCGTATGAGCGTGTTTTCAAGCGGAGAGTTGCAAGTGCGCCAAGTTCAACAGACTGACGGCACCACCGAGTTTCGCTGTCGTACGTGGCACCGACTAACAGGAGAGACCAAACTCAGTTTGTACGGCAAGCTTGTCGTGACAGGTAACACTGTCCCTGCTCTCACCCATCGCGTGGCCTTCGCGAGTGATTTGCAGTCATGTGGGAGAGAGCCCATCATGTAGTGGCTCGTGATGTAACTCATACGATGTAGTTTTTAATTACGGAGCACTTTTTAGTCGCACGGTGTCGCGCTTCGGCGTCGGTGGTGGCACCGTCCCCGCCCTTGCTGTGCATGATCGCCTCTCACGTCTCGTGCCGCTGTTCACGCCTCGTGCCAACCCAGGAAGACACCCGCAAAACTGTCGCTACCCTCCTCGTCTTTCACCTCGCAAGGCCGATGCAGGCAGCGTCCGCTAGTGAGTGAGTGAGTGAGTGAGTGAGTGAGTGAGTGAGTGAGTGAGTGAGTGAGTGAGTGAAAACACTTTATTGTTGATCCGGCATAAAGGGGGAAGAGGCAGGGGAATTAAAGCAAGACTCTAGCGTACTCGGACGTCCCGGAGAGCAGCAACCTACTAGCGTAAAACCCGTGGATGGACGGATGCATGGATGGACAGATGGATGGACGCACGAATGGGTGGGCAGGGGGGTGGGTGGGTGCGTATTTTTTTATTGTGCAGAAAAGTTTAAATGTACCTTACAGCTTCGTAGTACGTTCCTATTTTTCACTCCTGAACCTCCAAAGCCTAAGCATGAGAGGGATAAACAATGCTGCCAGTCATACGACATCGGTGACGTCAAGTCAGGAAAGGAGTGAGGGGGCAATGGTACTATTCCTAACAACGTTTGCACACCGTAAACCTCAATGATAAGACCAACTGAATCCGCTTATCTTTTCAGTTTACGCAAGCCGGTGTTTTTAGTGCACGTTACAAAAAAAAAGAGACGTAGAGCGTGTTGAACACGTGTGGACATATTGGACCTATTGAGTTTGTTACTTGTGCCTAGCGTACTGCTTTCCTGTAAAAATCAGGGAAAATTGCAAATTTGTAAATAAGTGTTTTTTTTTGTCTGGATGAACAGATCTCAAAGTGAATGTGCCACCACGCATCACAAACGTGCGATCTTCTATCGTCGCAAGCGAAGGTGACTCTGTGCAACTGCCTTGCGCCGCCCAGGGATACCCTCCGCCCAAATATATGTAAGTGCTTTTTATTTTGCAATCTTTATTCTTGGAATAGAAGTCACTTTTGGTGAATAACATACTGCAACAAAGCGATTAGGTATCCAAACGCGAAAGATTCTTGCCACGCTTACCATTCTGTGAAAGAAAGCGTGCCCTGCCGAAGCGAAGCAACATGCGCACGTAGGACGTTTATTCATCGAAGTAAACATTGCAGAAAAGTATCACCGCTCTTGGCGGCTGCATTTATATCGACGCAAAATACAAGAAGTCCTGTGCACTTATGGGCCAGTTAACAAACTCCACATGATCGAAATTTCCAGCGAATTGATTGATTGATTGATATGTGGGGTTTAACGTCCCAAAACCACTTCATGATTATGAGAGACGCCGCAGTGGAGGGCTCCGGAAATTTAGACCACCTGGGGTTCTTTAACGTGCACCCAAATCTGAGCACACGGGCCTACAACATTTCCGCCTCCATCGGAAATGCAGCCGCCGCAGCCGGGATTCGAACCCGCGCCATGCGGGTCAGCAGCCGAGTACCTTAGCCACTAGACCACCGCGGCGGGGCAAATTTCCAGCGAAGGGCTCAACAACAGCGCCTAACAAATTTCGCAAGCAAAACGATTATTATTATTATTATTATTATTATTATTATTATTATTATTATTATTATTATTATTATTATTATTATTATTATTATTATATTACCGTTTCTATCTATCCCGCGATCTGCGGTTCAGCAGCCGAGTACCTTAGCCACTACACCACTGCGGCGGAGCTTATTGAGGGCTTAACGAGGCCGTTGAATTTAGCTTGCTGATTGTTTGAAGGGTGATGGCCTGTAGCTCACCCCCACCATTTCAGTACAGGGAATTAATTTTGCCTGAATACGCTGGTCAGTTGTAGACAGGAGTCTCCCCCATGCCTCGAGGGAGAAATCTGGCAGTATTGCTTTTAGGGATGGGTTCCTCTTGCATTCCCAATGATCATTATTTTGGATGGCCTTCAGGTAGCCGCAATGTCGACAGTGTAATTTAATTGCTTGCCGGTAAATTTGAGACAGACGTAGGGGTTTTGAATGAGAATACGAATTTGTCTCCAAGAATTCGCCCTCCGCTGACGAGAGCGTTCCCTTGTAAGGTCTCCTTGCAGAACCGCGTATGCTTCACGGTTTCCTTTATATTATGCTGCAATTTCATTGTATGTGATAATTCCCTCGTGCGGGAAGTACAGGGGTGAGAGGTCTACCTCCCGGTTGATTATTCCTCGGGCTACATGGTGGACCACCTCATGGACCGAATTTTCCACGTGAGCGCGTATAACCACGCAACAGTTCCCGTCAACTTAGTGATGGCTGTAACGGACTTTCAAACATCTTGATGTCATTGCGTTTGGAGCTTGTGTAGCAGAAAATACGGGGCAGGTGTCGGCGAAGTTGCCGATGAGGGTAGTTACAGAGAGACAGAAAGGTAGAAAATCGTGGTTAGTCTCAATGTAACCCAGACATTGCACGTGACAGTCAAACATTCAGCCACGGAACTACGCAAGTGCTTGGAACTCCTTGCGAAAAAATAAGACTATAATGAAGTCATTTCGCGGCACCATCCACTGTGGTTGCAGTGTTCGCTATCGCTTTTGGGAGTAAGAACCTCAAAACACCTTCGCTTTTGGGAGTAATAGAGTTTTGATCACCGCCATTGGTCCTTTAATGACGTAATAAACTTTACATAATAACCTATTGGTAGGATACGTTAAATATTATTCAACCCGAAAGAATACGGCATGAGTGGTCTCTCGTGATGTGCAAATTATCACATCATAGCGTGCAATTCGTTTTAATATTGTTACGTGGCGAACACGGCAAAGAAGCGCTGCCACAGCTGCTGGGTGCGCTTGGTGGATGAGGAAGACGAGGAAGAGGAAGTGATGCTGAGTGATGGTTCCATATTTGTGTTTGAAATACAGCGTCTTTTTCATTTATGTTGACGCCATGAGATTCTCTACGTTTGTATCGCTGCCTCCAAACGAAACGTAAAGAATTCCACGACTTCAAATCAAAAGAAAGGAACACTGTATTTCCAAGAAACTTATATGTGTACTAGATGGTGAATCCATTCGCCACGTAAAATCCTAGGATACCCTTTTGGGCGTCAGTGTAGTCGACTGGCCGAATAAGCTATGATCGATGCCGTAGTGAGGGAGGAAAAGAGGATGGGGGAGAGGAGGACCTAGAACTACCTCCCTCCGTTCCCGTCCAAGTTGTTTGTTTTTTGAATAGGTACTCTCCTCAAGCTAGCTGCCGTCCTCGAGCAGTTGAAGTTTTGAGCAAAAGCTCCCTCCTCCCCTCCCCGCCGAAAATTTCTCGCTACCAGCCTGCACGATGTTCTCAAAAATACTCTATAAATGCACAATGAAATCGGTTCAACTCACAACGCTGACTCAACGCCTTAAGAAGAATTTGTTATGGCACACTAATCACTTGCCGTTTCACATGACACCAGCTCCCATTATGAATGAAACACGCCTAATTTTTATTATTTTTTATTACTAATATGATTGTCAGTATGCGCATGCCCCATTATGGTACAGTGGCTTGGACACTATTGACATGCGTTATCGGGACATAATCTTGCTCGGCATTTTGAAGAAGGTGCTTCAGCGGAAGAATGTTGCACACAGTTACATTGCTTTTCTATAATGTTTTTACAAGAGTGGCTATACAGTTAGAATGATTAACTAAATTGGTATCGTGTGCATCTCTATGATAACGACATCTATGACGCTCATAATGATAACGAAGGGGATGAACGTCCCATGAATTGCGATATGGTTATGACAGTAGCCATGGTGGAGGCCCACCGAAATTTCGACCACCTGGTGTTTTTTTTTTAACTTGCACGTAAATGTAGGCACACGGGCCTCGATTATTTTCACCCCTATTGAAAAAGCGGCCGCCGTGGCCGGAATTCAATTCGGTGACTTGCGAGTCAACAATCGAGCAGCATATTCGCTAGACAACTATGGCGGGTGACTGCTTTGACGCGTACGCCAATAACAGCAAGTGAAAGGAATAACTCTGTGAAAGGAACATATGCATGTAACGATCCTCGCCGATGGGTGATTCCGGCTTTGTATTATGTTACGTGCCCATGAGAGCCGGTGATCTGTTGAGAATGCGGATGAGATTCCACCACACGTGCTCGTTTTGTTGCATGGTCTACTTCTCTATATCCGCTTCTTTCTTTTACAGCTGAATTCTCACGATGTCAAGCCACGCTATTTTATAGCACAATCAAATGTCAGAAATAAGTATAAATTAACACATACATGTAAACAAGTCTTGGATAAGCAGGTTAATTTTACGAAAGTCACGCACAGGTTGCCTAATTACTATGAAATGGCGGCACAAAGCAAGATTATAACACAACGGAGCACACGAAGCACAAGAGCAAGAGACGCTGGTAGCGCTTCACTTTTTTCGGGTCGTCGAAAAAATTGCCCGCAGCTTCCCTCGGGGGAACACTGAGGAGGATGCGGAGCATATAATTGGTTAACGGGGTGTTAAAGTGCGACTTACTTGGGTCGATGGCTAAATTGGTTAACGTGGTTGTGAAATGGGGTGTTAAATTGCGACTTACTTGGGTCGATGGCTAAATTGGTTAACGTGGTTGTAGGAGGGGGTGTTAAATGAGTGAACACGTACACACGTATGCGAAAGGGCGGCGCTGGTCGAAGGGACGTCGATCATTGTGTTTGTTGATTCGTTGGAATTCATTTCACCGCGACCTTGGACGTCGACGCGCCGTACAAACCAACCGACGAGCGGCAACTGAGGGAGCGAGCGCCGACCTTGAGTATATATACAGCGCGACGGCGCATGCACTGTCAGCTGTCGAATGTTCGAGAAGGGGGAGAAGCGCAACGGCGCATGCGCGCGCGTCAGCTGCCGATGTTCTCGAAGCGCGACGGCGCATGCGCGCGCGTCAGCTGCCGATGTTCTCGCAGCGTGACGGCGCATGCGCGCTACATTATACAGCTAGCGAATGTTCGTGAAGAGGAGAAGCGCACGCGGTGTGTAGAGGAGGAAGGGTGCACAGATGGTGGAGGAGTGAAGCGCGCGCGGTGTGTAGAGGAGGAAGGGATACACAGATGGTGGAAGAAGGAGGAGGAAGCTTGCGGACGGTGCCGCACTACAAGCCTCGAGTATTAGATGCTCCGCATCTAAAAACGAAAGATACGAAAACGTATTAGGGGTGCGATTCCTTCTTGCGACTGCAATCCCGCAATCCTCGTGGTATTCCCATAGAGTATATTGCCACACCAAACGTGCCACAGAAAAGGAAAACTTCTCGCATGACTTCTGGTTCACAGGCTGTACCTGAAACATAAAGCTGGTGAAAAAAACGAGAAAAACATGCAATTTAGCAAAAGACATTAAAAAAACTGCGATGAAAGAGTCGTTGGGTAGCTACAAGCATTCAAAATAATAAAAAAGGAAGGGCATCGACAGAATGGACACGGCATACGAGTACAGAAAAGACGAGAAGCCAAGCGTAGAAAGAAACCGATCCGTTTCGCACTCTCGCAAGGGAGATAAAAAATAGAGAGTAACGAGGGATGTTGCAAGCCAGCTTCTAGTTCAAGGCGCAGAGAATGACCGCTAGGCGAAGGAAGTCTGCGTGGAGCTATAACATGCCTTTTCGAATGAGAAGGAATGAAATAAAAAGAAGCTAAAAAGGGAAGAAATGTCATCCCGCGTATTTCCCCAGACTTCAGCAGACTGCTGAGTCGTCCTCTTTAGCCGGAGGCTTTTGATGGATGAAGACGGAAAGCCTCTTCACGTCGTTTCGTGGGTGCGGGCCCAGCGTCCACATTGCATTGAAGGATCTTGGGTGCTCGCTGGCTGCGTCCTTTCGGAAGCCCAACTACAATGTGTCCCATGCCAGTAAATGTCCGATACCTCCTCCGGCTGCTCTCACGTCTTAATAGCGGTGCTGTTTACGCTTGAGCAA